CACCTCTGTAATTAACTGAGCTGAAAAACAATCGTTTTCATGGTGTGGTGGATGTATTCCCTTAGGATTCCTTGTGGTGGGGTGGGGTGGATTTGCAGGCACGACAACCCAAATATTGACACTTTGAAAAGAGGAATTTAAAAGTTGAGAAAGTAGCAATTTGACCACAATTTTAACTCTTTTTTTTGGGCATCCCAATTAAGTTATTGACTTTCTTTAACAGTCAATCCAAAGGAAAGAAAGCAACGCTGCACATGTCATTGACTTGCCAACCACAACCAAGCACTATAACCATTTCAATTCTCAATTTTCCATTCTAAAGTAAAACTTCGTACCCAACTTTTTCTTGTAAAATATGTATGTAAGTTGACAAATTTAATATGTATATATGTAGTGTTGCCAACATATCTTGCATAGATAATAGGAGTATTATAATGTATATCAATAAGGAATGCTTTGTATAAAACATGGGATATGCAATTCAATTAATATTACATGAATTTGAAAATCATACTATAAGAAAACGGTAAAATACATATTAAATAAGAATAATTTAAATACATACAAATTTTTTCATAGGTAAATTTGATGTGGGAGAGAGAGATTGAAAAAAAAAATTACTACAAGAAATGATTTTTTGTAGGATTTACTGTTCCACAAAACAATAATTTGTTTTGCCTTATGTCACGTACTTGAGGTGCGCCCAGCAAGCCTGTGCATTGCACGTGCCAGCTGGGCACATTAGAGACATTGCTCTTTTTTCTCTCTCTTTTTTTCCATTCTCTCTCCATTTTCTCTTTCCTAGTCATATATGTAAAAACCAAATAAAATTCCCAACTAATGTTGTTCTCTTAGGTTTTGAGAGATTTTTTTTTTCTATCCCTGTGTTTGTGAGGATTCAAAAGGAGTTATTCCAATTTTAATATATGTTATATATAAAATTATATATTTTTAAAAGTTTAGAATATTATTTTAAATTAGTAATAAAATTAAAACAACTAAAAAGAGTTTAAAACTTTTTTAATATATCGGACGGGATAAACTCAATTAACATATATAATGTGAAAATTTGATTAGATAAAATGTGAATCCAATTAAGAAGTATTGCATAAGGTATAGGAATAGTGTTATGGGTATTCAAATTGCTATAAGTAAACCATGAAAAAGAGCATATGTAGTTCATGATGGATATATTGTCAATGAGTAGAAGATTGAAAACAGATACTCATGTGGTGTACAAGACTTTTTAATTAGAGTCATTCTTGACTAGGTTTGATCAATTCTTCAATGATATTAAAGAAACGTTAAGTTCATCCAACAAATTCAGCTTCAAATTTGTGATACAGTCTGCAAATTAAGTTTTTTGTAGCATTGCTGGGGAAGTTGTTTTTAAGTCTGACTATAAGGAATGATATACCATTTCATTGTTCTTATTTGTAATCGTTCCAGCTTATGATTAAATGAATGAGCTTTTTTATTTTCTAAAAAAAAAAAAAAACCAAAAAACCATGGCCTTTAATTTAATTTGTGAATAAACTAACAACTTGTCTTCCATAGAATCCCTAGACCACACCAATTTTGAGCTCGAGTCAATTCAGTAAAGTAAAGCACCATAAAAGAGAAGCTTTTTAAAAGTGAAATCCATTTATTGCAAAGTTTTTCCCTCTTTTCTCTTAAAATGAAAACAAGCAATAGTGATCACTACTTTATCAAGGGCTTAAGTACCATATGGAGAGCCAATGATGAATTCATGACTTTTACATATTCATAAAATTATATATATATTTTTTAAAGTATCAATCTAATTTTGCTTGAACCCAAATTTTGATTGTACTCCATTTGTTTCAAACCTTTTCTAACGCTTATTAGTGCATTCATAAGATTCAAACATGAAATTTTATTGAACAAAATTCCTTTTACATGAACCATTATGCTATCTGCATCACTGAAATGATCATGCCCGCCCTACTATTATATCATCATATTTGTAATTCATCATCAATATTTTATTTACATCCCTTGCAAATACAACACTCTAAAAATATAATAATAATAATAATAATAATAATAATAATAATAATAATAATAATAACATTTGATTTTTTTAATAGAAAATTAAGCCCCATGAGTTTCTCAAAAAAAATTAAACCCCATGAAACTGATGTCAAGAAAAATTTCGAGTTTGAGTCTCACCTCAACCATTATGTTATTATTGATATTAACATTTTAGCTTCATTATTTATCAATGTTGCAGTAGGCGCTAGTCGGGCACCCGGGTAACGCCTAGCGCCTAGGCGGAATCTAGGCGGCGCTAGGCGGGCGCCAAAAAAAATAAAATAAATAGTGGAAGACTTGTCGTTTGACAATTTTAATGAGGTTGTTTTCAACATTCAATCAAATAACACAGCCAAATAAATGAAATAATGATAATTATAAGTCATAACATCATAATAATATTAAAATCAATAATAATGAAAGACGACATCAGACAAAATCAGTCAACATCAGACAAAATTGATCAAAATCAGTAAAAATCTGACGAAATTGATCAAATCGGACGACTCAGCCGAGTTGGCCGCCTAGGCGGCCGGCCGAGGAATGCCGCTTACACCCAAAACCGGCAGGGCTTGGTGCCGCCTAGCGCCTAGGGGGCCGAGTTTTGCAACCATATTATTTATTATTCAATTCATCTTATTTTATGCATTTAGTTTGATTAATAAAGTTTAGTTTTTTTTTTTTTTTTTTAAATAAAATATTTTGTTTGGTGTTAGTATATAAAATTCACATATTTATATTATTAAATTAGAAACATCAAAAGTATTCTTAAAAAAACATAAAATACAATTTAAAAAGTATAAAAATAGTAAATAAATAAAAAAAATTAAAAAGTTGGTTTGACTGTATAGTACATGAGACTAATAATCAATATCAATTGTTTAATTGATAGTGTTTGTCTTAATTATTTATTATATTTAATATCTTAATCTCATTTTCAGTATTTATATTGATACCTTTTGGAAAAAAAGTACCATATAAAAAAAGATATGCCTACCAACGACAATCTTTACTATTTGACTATTTCCTCCGTTCCGTAATAATCTCTAATTTCTTTAAAGTTTGGCTACTTGGGTTGAATTATTATTAATTATTGGGAAAAGGGTCAAATAGGCCCTTGAACTTTAGCTTAAAAGTCAATTAGGTCCTAAATTTTTTAAAGGTTTAATTATACTCATCAACAATTTATATAGGTGCAATGAAGTCCAAAAACAAGTTAATGACCTGCTATCACAAGTCATTAGGGTTCAGGCCACATTCCGACGAATTTTTTGATAAAAAAAAAAGGTGACCAGCAACCGACTCAAATTTGTCGAAAATTTCGCCGGTCACTTTTTTTTTTGCCTGAAAATTCGCTGGAAGGTGGCCTAAACCCTAATGACTGTGATAGCAGGTCATTAATTTGTTTTTGGGCTTCATTGCACTTAAATGAATTGTTGATGGATGTAATTGCACCTTTAAAAAATTTAGGGGCCTAATTGACTTTTAAGCTAAAGTTCGAGGGCCTATTTGACCATTTTCCCTTAATTATTTTGTTGAAATAGTGAAATGTGTGAATTGAATTGAAATCAAAGTTATAAAAGAATATAAACCCAACATGATAGCTTAAATGACAAATGAGTTCTTTTTGAGAGGGAGAATTTTGAGATAATCCGAGTTCGATTCCACACGTGACGATCCACAAGACCTGGACCATATTGTGGTTTACAAAACAATAAAGATGGGAATTGAGAAAGACCTGAACCATTTTTTTACAAAACAATAAAGATGAGATTGTTATATCGTGCGCACCAGGGGACGACGTCGTTTCTTTAAATTGGTGGGAAGTTGATGCGACGGACACCGTTCCGTTCGTCCAATCCCGTACAGTATTTTTTTTTTTTTTGAACACTTGTGTTTATGTGTATTATGTTAAAAGTTTATATGTATTATGTTAAGAGTTTATGTTTATTGTGTATTATGTATTATGTTACGAGTTTGTGTATTCTACTATACAATTCTGTACATACGAAACAATGATTTTTTTTTTAAAGAAGTTAACAGCAGAAACGGGAAACGGAATTAAAAAAAATACAAAAAGAAACCGTTTTGGGCCAGAGCGCACAATGCATTGTCCGCCCTGGTGCACGATATAATTTTCCATATAGATGGGGTTGTTATACCATGGAGGCACGGACAAGGTCCACTTTGCAACGTGAACCATGATTCTAAACGATATATAAATTGTGTATTTTTAATATTATAATTGTGAACTTCTAAAATATCAATTATATTTCTAGGTCCACCTTACAAGTTGGACCCCGATCCACAGAATAATTTGCTTCTAGTTCTAGATGGCCACACAACGAATAAGGCCAGTCCAAATGAGCACATAAAAAACACTACAAAATCAGGGAAACAAACATATGGCCTGTGGGGTTGAACCAGTGAAAGAGCAATAATCTAGATGATGACTTTACATATGAAGCATAATTTATCTTTATTCCTTGTCATATTCTAGGTTACCTTTTACATCATAACATGTTCTGTCTTCACTTCAGACTATGAAGGTTGGATCATTAGATTGACATCTCCATTTCATAGTGGATATAGGCCTTATTTGGCAATTAGCGATTAGCGGTTAACGGTTAGCGTTTGCGGATTGTATTAGCGGTTAACAAATAACGGATTATATTAATGAGTTTGACCAGCAGATTGTATTAGCGGTTTGTAAAAAGATGTTTGGTAAAATTAACTGTTTAGATTAGCGGTTAACATGTAAAATGACCAAAAGGGTATAATAATAATAATAATAATAATAATAATTTTTGAAATAATAATAATATAATAAGAATAAGAAAAAAAAAACAAAAATGATGTGGGATAAAAATCCCACATCGAAAGTTAGAAAATAAATGGCGTTGAGCTCCCTTATAAAAGGGAGCTCAACGCCAATTAATTTCTCTTGCCCATCCCATGTGGGATGGGCAAGAGAAGAGAAGCCTGGGGCTTCTTTATTTAAAGAAGCCTCAGGCTTCTTACTGATTAGTTTAATTTTTTTTTTTTTAATAAAATGGAGGGTGTTTTGGGGAAGGAAAATCCTTCCCCAAAACGCCAATCCCAAACGCTGCTCCTAGCAGCGTTTGGGATTTCAGCGGTTTGGAGCAAACCGCTGCTCCAAACCGCTGATAACCAAACATGATTTTTTGGCGTTTTGACGAAAGTCAAAACGTCAAAATGGTGGATCCGTTAAAAATTTGGCGGATTCGCCATTAACCAAACAAGGCCATATGGGTAATACTATTTTGGGTCTATAAAGAAAATAGTGACTATGAAAATAGAATTATAATGGGTAGAAAAAATAACGGTCAAATTTTTTAATCAAATGAATGGCTTAGATTGATTAGATTTTAATTTTTTCTTAAGATTTCAAAATTTATCTTTAATGAATATGATTATCCGTTAACTTTTTCGTTAAATATTATCTTTTCCGTTAATTTCTGTTAGTTCACCGTTAACTTACTCATTAATTTCAATAAGAAAGGTCTTAGGTTCTAACCCATCCCAATCAAAGTTGGCATAATTAATACTTTATTTTACTCTTATTAAATTATTATTAAATAATAATTTAGTAGTTATAACAAAAAATAATACATATGCATTTCTTTAATTTAGAATTATGTGTCTACAATGTCTTTTTTTTTTTTAAAAAATATTCATTATCGATGAATTAAATAAGAGAAATAATTTCATTAGTTATATTGCCTTTATTTTTCTCCAATATAAAAATTCTTTACATTCAAATTCATCAATTGATTATATTCGCTACATTGTCCCTACAATGTCTTTATTAAAAAATATATATTCATTATCAATAAATTAATTAAGAGAAATAATTTTATTAGTTATATTGTCTTTATATTTCTCCAATGTAAAAATTCTTTACATTCAAATTCATGATTATATTCACTATGTTAGTAATAATATATTATATAGTTTATTTGTCTATGGCTGTTGTTTATTTGACTAGTCTAAAACTACTGTATAGGAGCTTTTAGTGGTAGCTTCCCTATAGGATTCTCTTCTGTATTCTCTTTCCTGATTGAATGAGAACTGAGTTTGTTCATCTGGTATCAGTTAGCGTTAGGCTAGGCATCCTCCCTTTTTTTTCTCCACCACCGTACCATGTCGACAAACTCATCGGAAAGAACCGTAACCACCACCCCTCCTTCTCAAATGACCGGAAATTCCCTAAATGCCGCTCATCATTTTGTATCCATCAAATTAACCAATCGTAATTTTCTTTTTTGGCGCACCCAAATTATTCCTTTTTTTGCGTGGCCAAGGATTATTAGGATACATTGATGGCAGCCATCACTGCCCTCCGGCGACACTCCCAGCAGCGACGCAGCCAGGTTCCTCCGGCACCACCGCGGCTGGCTCAGTCGTCGACAACCCCGAGCATGCGGCGTGGGTCCAACAGGATCAACTGATCCTGTCTCTCCTGATCTCGTCTCTCTCCGACGAGGTCATGCCGCTAGCTGTTGGCCGAGAGACGTCACGCGACGTTTGACTCTCCATCACTGAGTCGCTGGCGTCCTCCACCCGGGCTAGATGCCTCAATTTGCTCGGCCAATTTCAGACATTACGGCAGGGAAGCATGACGGCGTCCGAGTATCTCGTTTTTTGTGAAGGATTGCACTACTCGGGAAATACTCCTTAAGGGATCCGCGGTAGGCGGCTTGTACAAATTGTTGGTGCCGAGGTCACATTTTGCTTTCCTGACCGCAAAAACTACACCTGCAGTGTGGCATCAACGTTTGGGTCACCCTCATAAGCAAGCCCTTCAACACGTCCTCAAACACTGTCCGGTCTCGTCAAATAAATCTCAAGCGTCAAACGTCTGTTCCGCCTGTCAACTTGGAAAATCATCCCGGTTTCCCTTAGATAGAGTTTATACTTCAAGTTTAAATGTATTAGATTTGTTGTATACAGATATCTTGGGTCCTTCTCCGGTTATTTCAGATTCTGGTTTCCGTTATTTCGTGTTATTTGTAGATGATTGTACTCGTTTTTGCTGGTTTTATCCCTTACGGTTAAAGTCAGACATCTATAAAATTTTTGATTTGTTTCGGGTGATGGTAGAACGGCGGTTTTCCCGTTCTATCAAAGCCATCCAGTCGGATTTAGGGGGTGAGTACCGGCGCCTCCACAAAACCTTTGAGTCCTTAGGCATTACACACAGACAATCGTGTGCCTATACACATGAACAAAACGGGCGTGTTGAACGCCGGAATAGACATATTGTCGAAACCGGCTTGACCCTATTAGCTGAAAGCTCAACTCCATTAAAATATTGGGATTATGCCTTTGAAACGGCAACTCAATTAATTAATTGCTTACCGTCATCTGCTATATCCTATGAAACACCACACTTCCGTATACATAAAACACCGCCCCCATACACTTTCTTCCGTGTCTTCGGGTGTAAATGTTATCCGTATCTAAGGCCGTACAATCGGCACAAGATCGAATATCGTTCCACACCGTGTGTCTTCTTAGGTTACCCAGTTTCCTTTAGGGGATACCGCTGTATGGACTTAACTACGGGAAAGATATTTATCTGCCGCCTTGTGCGCTTTGATGAAACAATCTTCCCTTTTGCTGTGCAGACTCATTTGCAGGTTGACTCTGGTTTGGCTCCCGCTCCACCACCTTGGGGAGCTGGGCCCGTGATGGTGAAACCCACCGCTACTCCGGTTCTAGATGAACCACCCCTAGCACAGCAGCCGGCGCCCGTGGCTATAGAAGGGCCGCCTCAAACCGGGGCGAGACGGGGTCGACCTCCAGGTCGAGGTAAACGCACTCGTCCTCCGGCCGAGGATCATGTCATGCGCACCAGGGGCAAAACCCGAGGCACAGACGAGCAATTCTATGTTCTTAACACCACTGTGGACCCTACTTGCTACTCTCAGGCTGTGGGGCACCCATAGTGGCGTGATGCTATGGATCAGGAGTTCAACGCTCTAATGCATAACAACACGTGGACTCTAATCCCGGCAACACCCAACATGAACATTATCGGTTGCAAATGGGTCTTCCGTACCAAACGCAAGGCCGATGGGACCATTGAACGCCACAAAGCCCGCTTAGTGGCAAAAGGGTTCAACCAGGTCGCAGGTGAAGATTTCTTCGACACCTTCAGTCCTGTAGTCAAGCCGACTACTGTGCGCATTCTGTTCTCTCTTGCAGTATCACGCAAGTGGGTCCTTCGGCAACTGGATGTACACAATGCCTTCTTAAATGGGCACCTATCCGAAACGGTTTATATGAAGCAACCACCCGGATATGAAGATCCATCACATCCAGGCCACGTCTGCCACCTACAGCGTTCGCTGTATGGCCTAAAACAAGCACCCCGAGCATGGTTCAACCGCTTACATGAGTTTCTGACATCCACTGGTTTTTTGGCATCCAAAACCAATGTCTCACTATTCTACTATTCAGCGGCGAGCTCACGGGTTTATCTGTTGGTCTATGTAGACGACATAATCATGATGGGTAACGATTCAGCTTTAATTGACACACTCCTCCGTCAGTTATCGACTGCTTTCAAAATCAGGGATCTTGGTACACCACACTTCTTTCTAGGGATAGAAACACTACCTTTCGGTGACGGTTTAATTCTATCTCAACGACGCTATATGAAGGACATCCTCACGAGGGCAGGAATGACGGACTGTAAGGCTCTGGCCACTCCAGCAGCAGTAACTCAATCAGCTACACCCTCTTTAACTCCCTTCGAGAACCCTACTAGTATCGTAGGATCGTAGGGGCGTTGCTGTATTTAACTATCACCAGGCCGGATCTCTCCTTCTCGGTGAACAGGTTGTGTCAGTTCATGCACTCTCCGACTGATGATCATTGGGGTTTACTCAAGCGGGTGTTACGGTACGTTAAGGGGACTCAGGAATACGGGCTCCGTCTGTCTCTATCGCCCTCGTCTGATCTTCATGCCTACACTGACTCAGACTGGGCCGGATGTCCAGTTGATCATAAGTCTACCAGTGGTTATGCTGTGTTTCTTGGCACCAATCTCGTCTCATGGGTCTCCCGCAAGCAGCGCATTGTGGCCAGGTCCTCTACCGAAGCTGAGTACAAAGGGCTGGCGGATGTTTCAGCTGAGGTCACATGGGTCGTTTCCTTACTCCGTGAACTTGGGTTACACTCTGGTACACCGGCTACGCTATGGTGTGATAATCTAGGGGCCACTTACCTAGCAGCAAATCCATTTTTTCACGCCCGCACAAAACATGTCGAGATTGATTATCACTTCGTCCGGGACAAGGTCGCCGCAGGGGATTTTATTGTCAGTTTTGTTTCCACCAAAGATCAGCTGGCAGACATTTTCACCAAACCACTACCAGCTCCACGCTTCCAGGCGCTACGGGACAAGCTCAATGTTGTCGCCCTCCAACCTTGTGTTTGAGGGGGTGTGTTAGTAATAATATATTATATAGTTTATTTGTCTATGGCTGTTGTTTATTTGACTAGTCTAGAACTACTGTATAGGAGCTTTTAGTGGTAGCTTCCCTATAGGATTCTCTTCTGTATTCTCTTTCCTGATTGAATGAGAACTGAGTTTGTTCATCCACTACATTGTCTATTATCTTTTTTGTGCTTTATTTTTTTAATTAAATATCAAAGTTATAATACAAAATAATGCTATGTATTTATTGACCAAGTATTTTATTAATATCATGAAAAATTAAAAAATATAATTAATAAAATCAATCATATTAACTATATGAGGGATTTATTGACAAAGTGAGTATTCAAATCACACAACAAATTGAAGTGAGAACTACCTCGCAATGTCCATGTTTGACAATCAGCAGTTAGCGGTTAGCGTTAGCAGATTATATTAGAGGATTTGATCAGCGAATTATATCAACGGTTGGTAAAAAGATATTTGAAAAAATTAACTGTTTAGATTAACATGTAAAATGACCTAAGGGTATACATATATTTAATAATAATAATAATAATAATAATAATAATAATAATAATAATAATAATAATAATTGTTTTAAAAAAATAAATAAAAAAATAAAAAAATATAATTAAGCTAATCGTATTAACTACTTGGGCGATTTATTGACAAAAAGAGTATTCAAATCACACAACAAATTGAAGTGGAAAACTACCTCGCAATGTCCTTGTTTGGCAATCAGCAGTTAGCTCTTCAATATTAGTATATATTTAATATTTTATGCCCTAATTTTTATTTGCTCTCCCTTATGTCCCGTATTTGGTTTCAACCATACCTATACAATTATTTTATTAACAATTATAATCAATCTTGACTATATTATCTTGTATTTGTAAATTTAGAATTACCTATTTAAATACGCAAATTCAACATTCAATTATCTATGCATGAACAATTTTAATATAATCTTACCTTAATATACTTTAAAGTACTTATAAAAAAAAAAAAAAATAAATAAAAAAAAATAAAAAAAATATTGAGCATTATCCCAATCGCACAATGCGCGTAAAAAACTAGTAAGTATAATAATAGTGACAATTGCTTCCCAAAAAGAATTGGAGTAAAGTGAGTCTATAGAACCAAACATAAGAGCGATCCAAGTTAGCCTTTGAGCTACAATTAATTAAAACTCCAAAATCCAAACCCCCCACAAATCATAAATTCACAATCCACATTCAAGTTTAAAATTGTGTAAAGTGCATAATAGTATATCTATCTATCCTAAAGCTGCAACAATCTCATTTGCTAGTTTTCTGTTGCAAACAAAAATATTTCTTACAATGTCAAAAAAGTTCCAATTTGCAGAGGTTCATGTCCTTCATCTCCCAAGCATCACAATGCACAAACAACATCTGGAGATGCAATGTAGGTTTGAACAAAAATTTCGAAGCCAGTCGGGGCAACTAATGCTGACTACTGACAATGTTGAAAAAATCGCTAGGCGCCCTCTAGGCGCCTGGGGACCGCCTAGCGCCTAGGCGCGATTTTTGCAACACTGACTACTGATATCAATTGTTTCTAGCACGCCTTTCTCTTAGCCTTCCAGCAATGCTATCGGGGATTGGCTCGACTCCCTGTCGCTTCCTTTTGGACTTTAGACTTGTTTCTGGTGGCATAATACTACCCAAAACTGCATTTTCACAATCATGTTCGACTTTTACTACAATACGAGATCCTTCATCCACCTTAGGATTTGTTTCATCATTTTCAGAGCAAACCTTCAGCAATACTTGGGGGACACTACATTCAGTCTCTTTGCCAGCACCTCGGGCTACTTCGTTGTCATCAGTTGATACAAAATCCATTCTTTTCTCTTCCGCTTGAGTTTCATTGCGTGCCTCAGAAGAAGGTAAGGATCTCTTTTCAGGAAGCCCGTCATTAGGTGAATTATTCTCGGGATGATCAGTCGTTGCTTGGCGGGTTTGAATGAGATAATGTGCAACTGACTTGTAACCCAGTGCGGTAATCTGTATTTGGGACAAACAAAGTGAGGCTACTCTCCTAAAGTATACGAACAACGATAAATTACACGAGATTCTCCTCTACCTTTGCATTACCTTCTTGTAGAGAGCACCAGTAGGAGCCCAGCCCTTTGCTTGTCGACACAAGCTGCAGTTGCAGATTCCACGACAAACCGGGCAAATCCAGTCCGGGTTCTGGTTGGCTTCAACCACATGTTCTCCATACCTGACGGGCCAATTTCTCAGACGGTGAGGGAAGATTTCTTGTTTTCTCACAAATAAACGGTAAGAATGGTTGGAGAATGAACAAGTCGATGCCACGAAGTTGAATGGAACAATTGCTAATAGTTGCATTATTACCTCATAAACAAACAATCCCCGCAAAACTGTCCCTGGACCTTGTTGCATTTCCAGCAATGAGTACGAAGGCCCATAGTTTTCTGCCTGTAAAACAGCATAGATAAATTAAGGAAGACAAACTGACAAATCCATCAAGTTTTACAAGAATAGAAAGGCATGGATATAGGCATTCAAGATGACCACTAAACACAAATCTATAGTTTAGAAAGGCATTCTTAGTTCTTAGTATCTTACCGGCATTGATGACAAGTCTTCCCCTTAACGGGATCATAAATTCGCTTCCCATCCGTTCCACATCCATCCACAAATAGATCCCAACTCATATCAGTGCTACCCAACAACTTCTCATGCTCTTCTGTATATATCTCAGCCTTTGAACCACCAAAATCCTTCACCAAATCCTCACCCTCAACATTGGATCTCTTTCCCAATGGCAATTCAGAGTAGCTAACAGGTGAAGCATTTTGCAGCCTAAAATTACCACCAAAACAGAAAATGTCATAAACAATTACAAGAATCTAAACTTGTAATCAAATCCATCTTGAAACAAGGTAAACAAGCAATCAAGAATACTACATATGAATCAACCACTAGTATTTAGCCTAAAAATCAAACCTTTACATGGACAAAAAGAATTCTATATAGATGCAAAAAAAAAGAGCAATCACTAATCAGATGCAACCCTCCGTTTATACACACAGAAAGAACCCACAAACATCAGCCAAACAACACCAAATAAACACCTAAACTATAATCAACTGATAACACAGAAAAATTTCAGAAGATTTCAAGGTAAATAGTGCAATCAACAGGAAAGTAAAAAATAAAAGGGGAAAGAGAGGGAAAGAGCGTGTGTGTGCCTGGAGGAGCGGCGAGTGGGCTGAGATGGAGGCAAAGGAGAGACAGAGAGTCGCTGTGGGGGTTTGCAAGTCTTGATGGCCTTGATGGGCTTGATAGACTTGAACTTGAGAGAGAGATCAAATATACCTAGCTTTCTCATTCTTTCAAGATTTTCCTTTATTCTTTCTTCCCTGGATTGTTCGTACTCAGAACCCTTCTTCTGCTTCTGGGTATGGAACTCGCCATTATCTTCTTCACCCACCATTTCTTCTTCACTCAACCTCTTTCCCTCCGCGAATCTGAAAGTGGAGAGTCTATATGTCCAACGGTCGAATATGTAGTAGTGGTAAGTGGAGGGTGCCCTCGGACTTCGTGCCTTCTTGTCTCCAATTAATCTTTTAATGATACTCCGTAGTAAATTATTTTCTAAATTAATTTTTAATGTTTTTTTCATAATATTTCTTTTGAGTTAATTATTGAAATAATCCGAAATTATTAATTTAATTTTTTTATTATTTTTTTCTAATTAAATCTTTAATTTTAAAAAATTTAACTAATTTGGTCTTCCGTTTGTTTAGCTGTCAGACATCGGTTTATTCGGGACTAAATTGGTAATTTGGCTATAATCAAGAGACCATTTTGGTAACTAACTATTTGGTTTAATAAGAGAGAAAATAGTGCATGTGATGATCAAAATGATCCCTTGACTGTGAAATTACCAATTTGATATCGAGTAAACGGACATCTGACAGCTAAACAAACGAAGGATCAAATTCGTTAAAATTGAGGACTTTATTATTATTTTTTTCTTGAAAAGTTGAGGACTTAATTAGGTAAAAAAAAGTCAATGATCAAATTAGTAATTTCGCTATAGTCAAACGGTCATTTTGATAATTAACTCTAAATTTTTAAATCAATAAAATCTTAATGTGTGTGTGTGTGTGTGTGTGTGTGTGTGTGTGTGTATATATATATATATATATATATATATATATATATATATATATATATATATATATATATATATATATATATTGGATAAAAGTGGATTTTTTCGAATATAAAAATTATACAAAATGCAAGTGAATAACTATACTAATTTAATTAGGTATAGTTGTATGGATATAATAAATTGGATTAATTTCATTTTTAGTTCTTCAATTGTTGATTTTATTTTTATTTTTAGTTAATGATTATATTTATCTTTTTTAAATTGTGATTTTCAATCTTTTGAAAATCAGATTTAATACCATATTTGATACTTGGGTATGAGTTTATGACTAAAGGTGGTAACAAGTTTTTAAAAATTGAAGTATTAAATTTGATTGATTTTAAAATCGATAATGAAAGTAAAAAATTATTAAAAATAGATTGTAATCGAAACACTAAATTTGACAATTAATTTAAATTTGGTAATTTAATAAATTATATATAACGGTATAAAATATAAATGCTCCGCTCTGATGATGAGGTCAGCACACACGATAATGAAGCTGGCCCAAATTTGAGAAGGAAACCATAGTATGTGTTGGATGAAAAGAAGACTGGGAAATGTGAAGCTTCCCTTGTATGTCGTTCTCTAAGGATGGTGAATGAGAATTGAACAATGCAAACAGCTAATCGCAAGTGCATAAGAACCGTAGAAAGCTAGGTCTCAAGACTTTAAAAGAGAGCATTATCAAAGCATTAAGGAAAAGTAAAGTATCATAGAAATGTAAATAAACAAGTAGCAAACACAAATGTAATCAAGTGAATGGATGGGACTAGGACTAGGTGTTCGTTGATTGGATGCAATAGAATGGCCTTTAAGTATAAGTAGTGTAGTGCATTGATCATGATTATTGTAAGATGTTTCCATTATTGCCAAAGCCACTCTCATAGGGTCTATTTGACTATCAAGTAGTAAAATCATACTCTTGTAGCAACCCTACTAGTTGAGATATTCCATCGAACACTTAGAGTCCACATTTTCTTCCGAGCTTCGTCTCTCGACGTAAGGTGGGGATTGTAAGTGGAATAGGCTATAATAGAGTTCCAATCTCTTGGCAACTACACGCCTCCCAGACCTATTGCATGATGTGGCCATCACCATACAATAGTCTATACAAAGTCCACTTCTAACAAGAATCAAGTCACTTTCTAATTGCAATCAAAATATTCTAGCATCCTAACAAATAAACCTAATCCTAATTCCCTAAGAATTAGCTACACACTATCACAATTGCATAGCTAAAATGAAGAATCAATGGAAGCATTTGAAAGAAAAGTAAATTGTAATTGAAATGAACACTTTGCTTTGAAGCACAATCTTCAATCTCCAAGAAAATCTTCACAATTGTATGTTGAAATCCCATAGAATTCTTAGATCAAGTTGTTTTAAGAACCCTAGGGAGAATTCTCTCTCTAAAATCTAAAGTACAAGTAACAAGTCTAAACAATTGGCAAAAATCTAGATAACTCTTAACTCGCAAATGAGAAGAAAACATCTATTTATAGCCACAATTTTGCCCCTTGTCACGCAAGATGTCACACGGTAATGGTTTCCGTGACGAGCAGAACCAGCATAGAATCCTCTTGTCACGAGGGGAGATACCGCGTGCAGTGGTTGCTAGCGTGATCAACATCCATCATTCTATGAAGTTTGCACCACGAGCCTCATTAATGCATGATGTATGGTGTGAAGAGCAGAACCATGTCTCTGAAGTTGGTGTCACGAGCTCCATTACCACGTGGTGAGGCTGATAACGGCAGAAACACCTCTCTGAAGTTGGTGTCACACCTGGATCACGTGGTAACTTGTGGAGTAACTTTGACCTTCAAGATGATCGAATTAGACTTTGAGGTCTATAGAAAACTTGTATTCCTTTGATGAGTTGATGTCCCAATGACACTTGAATCACTCTATTTGGACACTCCTATGCTAAGATATGATCAAAATACCAAACTGTCGTCGAGGTGCCCTTGAAATGACGTTATTTTCGTAGAGTGCACAAATGCAACCACAATTAGTCTTTATTCCTAACTTTATGCAAATTAAGCTATTCTAAGCATATAATAAGCTCAAAGAACCCCAATTATTGCACAAGATGTCTCTCAATACCCCCACAAAACATAACATCTATGGCACTTACCAGTCTACTGAGGTGTTATTGAGCATTATGTTGGAAATAAAAATTTCAAGAACAAAGAACGATTAATCGAAGGTGTGCGAAACCCACTTTTCTTAAAATTGACTCACTTTCTAAAGAGGGTACTAGGAGCGTTGAAGCATCAGTTTCCCAGGATACCATGGATTACAACAATATATTTAAGCACTCAAATATATTGCTTTCGGCGAACTTAGACAAACGAAACACTTTTAGGAGATTAAGAGAGATTGGAAAAATGTTTTTAGGGAGTTTTTAGAAAGTATGAGAATGAAAAACTCAAATTTTCAGTTCGTAAAATCATTATGCCCCACCACACATTCTTCTAAAAGATTGAACCCCAACCCTAAGCTCCCCCCCCCCCCCCCCCCCAAACTCCGACCCGACAGAGTATTTGGGAAGATATATATGCCCCACCACGCATATTTATAGGAGATGTGGAATTTATTAGCATTCATGACATTAAAAAATTGAATTTAAAATTCAATTGTGTAACTCTTAAAAGTAACAAATCAACCAAATTAAATATGATGTTGCAAAATTAATTCTCATATAAAGAAAATTGAAATTAATCATAATTAATTCAGTAATAGATTAGAATTAACGCACCAATTTCTAATACATTGGAGATACATCACAAGTTAGAGAACAATACGACTTATTATATGAATTAGTGTTGCAAAAATCGCGACTAGGCGCTAGGTTGCGTCTGGCCGCGTCGAGGAACGCCGAAATCGGCCTCCTCCGTGACCGGCCGCCTAGGTAGTTTAGACAATCTAGGCCTAGGCAGGCGAACACTGCTATGAATTGCGTTCTGAGGAACCTCTAAAATTTGGGCAACACTGCTATGAATAGTAGAGGTAGAGCTCTCAATGCAAGTTGGCATGGTAGGCCTTTGAGGCCCGCTACTTAGCGGGCATGGAGTCAACTGACCCACCCCAAAATAAGGTGTTTAATGGTGCACCCAAAAACTCTAAAGAAGTGATTGATATGGTTGGCTCTCTGGCTAGGGAAGCTTGGGTAGTTTTTTACTAGAAGGAATACAAGCCTTTGAAGTATGGCCATGTCGGTGTTGGTTTTTGCCAAATGAAGGGTGGGTGAAACTCAATACTGATGATGGGGTCAGGAAAGCCACGACAGGCTTAGCTAGCGCGAGTGGTTTATTTGTGATTTTAGAGGAAACTTGATCGCAAGCTTTGTGGTCAATATTGGGGTCGCTGATAACTTTCTTGCTGACTTGTGGGGCCTAAGGGAGGGACTACGTACGACTCAGTAAGGAAAAGGGGTTCTGAAGGTTGGTTGTGGAGTTTGATTCCAAATCAGTGATTAAGGTGATGAGGGAGTATTATGTGGTGAATGAGTTCATCATTACGCTCATTAACGACTGTAAGTTTCTCACTTTGGGGTTTGAAAATGTGACTTTTACGCATGTGATGAGGGAAGGAAACAAATGTGCTGTTGAGTTACTCGCCACTATTGGTCAGGATACGGATTGGGGGACGATAGTTTTAGAGGTTCCTCAGAATGAATTGTTGGGGTTTTTAATTGTTGATGCCGGGGAAACAAGGTTCAGAAGGATTAAATAGTACCCGCGTTGAGCGTGGGTGGTAACACCCAAAAAAAAAAACTTTAAACTCGTTATATTGCAGCGGTTGTATTATATGGATTAGTTAAACGCTTACATCATAAACTTAAACTGCATATATTTACTTTTACATATATTATTAGATAAACTGTTAGCACATGCGGAATCAAGCCAGCAAGGGAAAGCCAAAACTGTCATATCTTTCTGTTAAGTTAGTTAGGAAAGTTGTTTCCTTAACCACCTTTCCCTCTTCTTTTTCTGTTATACCTTTCATCTGTATTGCTTGTGTATAAGAAAAGGCCAAGCTGCCTGAGAACTGATTGATTGAGTTTTGAATACAAAAGACTTTCTTTCTGCTCCACTCTCAACATGGTATCAGAGCCTTGATGGCTTGGAGGACACCCTCTCTAAACACAATTCGTTCTACAATGGCCACAAACCCCAGCTCCTCAAATCCAAATCAGATTCCCACCCCAAATCCCATTGCTGCCTATGATCCTAAGGATCAAATTGATCCTCTTCATCTTCATCCAAGCGAAAGCCCTTCGTTGCAGCTGATGACTGTACAGTTGGAAGGAAGAACAAATTACCATTCATGGGCAGAGCAGTAGAGATGGCCCTGAGATCAAAAAACAAATTGGTTTTTGTAGATGGCACAATGCCAATCCCAAGCAAATCAGATCACAAGTTCTTCTACTGGGATCAGTGTAATACTATGGTACTCTCCTGGATCCTCAGAGCCGTTTCACCCACTATTGGAAGAAGCGTACTATGGATCAATATAGCTGAAGGAGTCTGGAAGGACCTGAAGAAGAGGTTCAACCAGCAGGATGTATTCCGAGTTGCAGAGATTCAATCGGGAATTCATCAAGTCAAGCAAGGTACCCTGACTGTCAATGACTATTTTACTCATCTGAAGCTTCTGTGGGATGAACTGTTTATTTTAAGACCAATTCCCTCTTGTGAATGCTCACCTAGCTGTGAATGTGGAAGGAAGTTGTCTGAAAAATAGAGAAAGTCTTGAGAGTGATATGTTGGCAACCTTTCTCATTGGTTTGAATGAGAATTTCACAAACACTAAACGACAAATAATGTTGATGAAACACTTACCTGATGTTGGGGAAGCCTTTTCTATGGTTTCCCAACAAGAGAGACAGGTGATTGGTGAGTCAAGTGGCTTTGGAGAAAATCTGACATAGGCAAGTGTATTCTTTACCAAGAATGATAACAGGAGGACATTCTCTGGTCAGAAACAGAAACCAATATGTAGCTATTGTGGGTATACTGGCCATACTGTGGACAAATGATACAAGAAGCATAGATATCCACCTGGTTGGAAGCCAAGAAGCTAAGGTGTGGGGGCTGCCAATCAACTTCAGACAAGTGTGCAAGAAGGTGTTGTCACAGAAGCTATTCCATCTGTTAATCAAGAAGATTTCAGAAGATTCATGGAGTTTATGCATCATGAAAGAGCAAGTAGCTCACCTCTTGCTGTTGTCCCACAAGCCAATGCAATTGCAGCAAATTTCATTCCAAATACCAGAATTGAAGGTAATTCTGTTGACTCTAACAGTAATTTGGCAAGTTCTCAATCCCTATGGATCTTGGACAGTGGTGCCACACATCATATTGTTTGCAATATAAACTTGTTGCATAATCCCAAGAAAGTTAAAGGTATCTTTGTGGATCTACCTAATGGAAGTCAAGCTCAAGTCTCCCACATTGGGACTGTTCAATTCACTGCTGAAATGGTCCTCTCAGATGTGCTATGTGTGCCTATCTTTCATTATAATTTAATCTCATTGGGTGAACTCACAAGAAGGGCACAATGTCAGATTATTTTTCATGCTAATCAGTGTATCGTACAGGATCGACACCTTGGGAAGATGATTGGTATGGCTGAATTGAAGAGAGGACTTTACCAGCTTGTTCATCCTACTCTTCCTGTCTGCAATCTGCAGTGTAAACCTACTGTCAATGTTTGTATCTCTTGGCATGCTAGGTTAGGACATCCTTCTGAGGGCAAAATTAGATTGTTTCATTCCCTAGACAATAAGATTTGTAATGACAAACCAAGTGTTTGTGACTATTGTCATTTTGCAAAGCAAAAAAGGCTGCCATTTAAGCCTAGTCTTTCTAATTCAACAAATTGTTTTGATCTTGTTCATGTGGACATATGGGGCCCATATCAAACTGCTACCATCTATGGTCACCAATACTTCTTAACTCTTGTTGATGACTATAGTAGGGCCACTTGGGTCTATTTAATGAGGAAGAAGAGTGAGGTCAAGCAAATTATGCAGGTTTTATGTGAACAAATCAAAACACAATTTGGGGGTAATATCAAATGCATCAGATCAGATAATGGGAAAGAGTTCAGCTTAGAGGAGTTCTATCAAAGCAAAGGTATCTTACACCAAACATCTTGTGTGTATACTCCTCAGCACAATAGTGTAGTTGAGAGGAAGCATGTCCACATCTTGGCTGTGACAAGGTCTCTAAAATTCCAAGCTAATCTGCCTGAAGATCTTTGGGGTGATTGCATCCTCCATGCTGTATATCTCATCAATAGACTTCCCTCAGCTGCCCTGGATAATAGAATTCCCTACCAGATTCTATTCAGTAAGGTGCCACAGTATCAGCACCTGAGAGTTCTTGGTTGTCTTGCCTTTGCTGCCATCCCTAGCTGTCAAAGGAGCAAACTATCACCAAGAGCCAGGAAATGTGCCTTTTTAGGCTTTGCAAATGGAGTTAAGGGGTACAAACTCCTTGATATACAGTCTAGAGAAGTGTTCTTGTCTAGAGATATACACTTCTATGAAGATATATTCCCATTTCAGAATTTTCAGGATAGTCAGTCCAGAGAATTGGTCCTGCCTTCTAAGGAATTGGCTTGTTTAGGCAGCAATGATATTGCACCTGCCACCCCTGGCCTAGTGGCTGATCAGCCTCAGCCTCAGCCACCAGAATCAAACCAGATCAGTGAGCCCCTTACAGAAGTGACACAGATGCCTCAACTCAGGAGGTCAAACAGACCAAAAACCACACCTGCTTACCTGAGTGACTTTGCATGTCATAATGCAGCCACTAAGCAAACTTCCCCACACCACATCTCCAAGGTATTATCTTATGATGGTTTGTCACAAGATTTTAAGGTGTTCTCTGTTAACACCATGCTTGTCAAAGAGCCTAAGAACTATAATGAAGCTATCAAACAAGATTGTTGGAAGAAAGCTATGGAACAAGAGATCAGTGCCCTGCAGGCCAATGATACATGGATAGTCACTGACCTTCCTCCTAATAAAGAGCCCATAGGCTGTAAATGGGTATATAAAACCAAGCTAAAGGCTGATGGGACCATAGAGAGGTACAAAGCAAGGTTAGTTGCCAAAGGGTTTACTCAAACTCCTGGTTTAGATTACTTAGATACTTTTAGTCCTGTGGCTAAGATTGCAACTATCAGGATGCTATTGGCTGTCTCTGCTATAAAATGTTGGGCTCTGCAGGCAGCTCATAGAATATTGAGATACATTAAAGCAGCACCAGGGCAAGGACTCTTCTTCTCAGCAGCCTCCACCATACACCTGAGAGGTTTTACTGACTCTGACTGGGCTGCTTGTCCAGACACTAGGAGATCCATTACAGGCTTTTGCATATTTCTTGGTTCATCTCTAATATCTTGGAAGTCCAAGAAGCAAGTCACTATTTCCAGGAGTTCATCTGAGGCAGAATATAGAGCCTTGGCCACAACTGCTTGTGAAATCCAATGGCTAATCTACCTGTTGCAAGATCTGACAATAGATGAGTATCCCACTGCCACACTATATTGTGATAGTAAGTCAGCAATAGCCATAGCTGAGAACCCGGTGTTTCATGAGCGCACCAAGCACATCGAAATTGACTGTCACTTGGTGAGGGAGAAGTTACAAAAAGGAACCCTAAAATTGCTGCATGTTAGTACAACTAATCAACTAGCAGATGTATTCACTAAACCTCATGCTCAGAACACTTTCAACAGTCTAATATCCAAGCTGGATCTTCATAACATGTATATTCCAGCTTGCGGGGGATGTTAGCACATGTGGAATTAAGCCAGCAAGGGAAAGCCAAAACTGCCATATCTTTCTGTTAAGTTAGTTAGGAAAGCTGTTTCCTTAACCACCTTTCCCTCTTCTTTTTCTGTTATACCTTTCATCTGTATTGCTTGTGTATAAGAAAAGGCCAAGCTGCCTGAGAACTGATTGATTGAGTTTTGAATACAAAAAACTTTCTTTCTGCTCCACTCTCAACATAAACACTCGTTTTAAATGGATTTTGTTAAAAGAAAAAAAAAACATCAATAACAATGAAACGTATAATACTAAGGAAATTTTAATGATATTATAAGCAAGAGAAATTAAACATTTTGGCTCTTAATTAAGGGTAAAAACACACTCAATATTCATCCCTTAACCGAGTCGTTACATTCTCCTTGCTAAAAAACTTACTATAGAAGATCGAAATGATAGTCGGTGGTCAACTCATACGTACTGTTGAGCCTTAGCATGCAAGACATTAAAAATACTTAGTTATTATTGTAACCTTCCCTCATGTGAACCCTAACGTAGAGTCCTTTAGCCATGTATCCGGTCAAGAGGGGGACAAAAACCGGCTGTGACTCGCACACCGGTCGAATCTCAAACCGGCGCAGAATGGAGGCCACTACGAACTTCATCTGAATGAAAGCCATCTCTTTGCCCAAACACACCCTCGGACCGGCTTGGAAAACCGGGAACTTAAACGGGCTAATCATTTTCAACTTCCCTTGTTCATCGAACCAGCGGTCCGGTTTAAACTCGAGCCAGTCGTTTCCCCAGAGATTCTCCATCCTCCCCATTGCGTATGGGGAAAAGGTGACCCTATTGCCTCTGTAAATGGGTGTTCCGTCAGGCAGAACGTCGTCGTTTGCAGCGTGCTTGGAGTCCCACGCCACCGGAGGGTATAGCCTCATGGACTCGCACAGGCATGCTTTGATGTAATTCATCTCCCTCAGATGATCAAAATTTAAGGTTTTTTGGTCGTCCGAGGAGAGGACTTGTTTGATGACAGTGGTTTCGATGTTTGGGTGTTTGGATAAAAGCCAGAAGAACCAGGTGAGGGCGGAAGAAGTTGTGTCTCTTCCGGCGACGAGGAAACTTATGACCATGTCCCTGACAACCTCGTCCTTGTGCCCAGCATCCAACAACCTCGACAGAAAATCACTCCCGGCGCCGGCGGCAATATTGTTTGCTTTTTCTTGTTTTCTGACACGGATGATCTCCTCGACGTGATCATGAACGACTTTGATGTGTTCCCTGAGTTTTTTCTCCGATCCCACGTTGAAAGCCCGCTTGCATTTCCACACAGCAAACACAGGCGCCATGCCGCGTCTCGCGGAAATCTCCGACGCCTTATCGAAAGCATCCACCAACGACTCGGCGGAAGAATCGGAGGAAGACAAACAGCCGGGATCGGAGCCGAGGGAGATTTTACATATGGTATCAAACGCAAATCTTCTCAGAACGTCCTGCAAGTCCAACACCGATGAATTTCTCGCGGCGGCCTCCAGCAACGGCGAGAGGCGGCCGTCGACCTCCTCCTCTAGCGTCTTCATCACCAGCTCCCGGAGTGACCTGGCGGTGAACTCGTGGCTGGCCAGCTTGCGCTGGGCGCTCCACAAATCCCCATCCACGTTGAATATCCCGCGGCCGAGGAAGTCGCCCAGAATCTGGTTCATGGGCTCCCCTTTAGGGAAGTTGAGGAAGTTGTTCTTCAGCATATACTCCACGTTCTCGGCGCTAGCGGTGACCACCGTGCGCGGCGCTCCGAGGCGGTGCACGACGATGGTTTTGGTGGGCGAGGAAGCGAGGAGCTTAGTGTACCAATCCAGCAGGCAATAGCGGTTCTTGTAGAACGATAAAAGACACCCAATAATTGGGTAAGATGGAGGAGTGTAAACAATGAGCTTCTTATGATGTTCAGTGTGGAATACACGACTGAACATTAATAAGAAGAAGAAACAAAGAAGCCCAAAGATGATGATGAAGCTGAGAGAAAGAAACATTATTATTGTGCGGTTTGGTTTTAGGGTTTCGAGTTTGGATGGGTTTGAAGTTTGAAGTGGGGGTGAGGATGAGGAGAGTGAGTACTGAGTGGGCTTGTATTTATGAGTGCGAGTGATGAGTGATGGGAGAATAGGTGGCAGAGGGATTAGGCAGATAATAGTGAGCAAGAAAGGGTCATGAGTATTGATGCACGTGATTTTTGTGCTGAAATTGGATTTGATTGCAATCTCCAACTGGGGCAGTGCACGGAGGCCGGCGCGGGCACATATTCCTATGTTTTTAATTGCAACCAACAATAGTGTCACATCCATGTCCTAATAGTTAAGTGTTAACTTACTTATTGATTTTAATAAAAAAGGTCTTAAGTTCGAACCTCATCCAATCAAAGTTGGCATAACTAGTACTCTTATTTATTTTTCTTAGTTATATTGTCTTTATATTTTTTCAATATAAAAATTCTTTACATTCAAATTCTTCAATTGATTATATTCATTACATTGTCTATTATCTTTTTTGTGCACTATTTTTTAATTAAATATCAAAGTTATAATACAAAATAATGCTATATATTTATTTACCAAGTATTTTATTAATACCATTAAAAAATTAAAAAAAAAATTAATAAAGACAATCATATTAACTACTTTAGGGATTTGTTGACAAAGAGAGTATTCAAATCACACAACAAATTGAAGTGAGAAACTATCTCGTAATGTCTTTGTTTGGCAATCAGCAGTTAGCTCTTCAATATTAGTATATATTTCATATTTTATGCCCTAGTTTTTATTTGCTCTCCCTTATATCCCGTATTTGGTTCCAACCATACATATACAATTATTTTATTGACAATTTATAATCAATATTGACTATATTATCTTGCATTTGTAAACTTAGAATTGCCTATTTAAATACGCAAATTTAACATTCAATTATCTATGCATGAACAATTCCAATATAATCTTGTCTTGATATACTTTAAAGTACTTATTAAAAAAAAAACATTGGGCATTATCCCAATCGCGTAATACGCGTAAAAAACTAGTATATATATATATAAATGTTTCTATTAAACCGTCGTATAAAATAGTTTAAAAAATAAAATAAAATACTTTCTATAGCAGTTCCAAATCGGAATTGCCATATATAGTGGTTTTTTTTTCTATATACGGTGTTTTAAATACCGTCATATATTAAGTAGCCTTATTTGTTATTTATTAGATGGTGGTTCTCAATAACTATCTTATATACAATATATACACAACAGTTGTTAAGAACCGTCATATAAAGTATTTATTTACAATGTCAGTGATTGTCACGACACTTAATTTTTTTCTATTTTTTTAAAGAATTACCACGACACTTAATAAACCACCGTCTAGTGTAAAAAAAATCGTCGTAGTATATATGTTTTGTATTAGTGATAGTGTGAGAGTTACACCTAAATATGATAAACTCCTTGTGGGCACGGGTGTTCCCAAACTAATATATGGACAATTGATTCATCGTGATTTACTCATCCACTATTCTATGGACATAGTGAGGGACCTTGGAGTCTAAGTGATAAAAAAAAAGTATTTATTTTTTTGTTATATTATTATAGAGTCAAATGTACACGTTGCTATTATAAGTGATTTATAAGAAAGTCAAAGGCACCATTGAAGTTGAACCCATCTCATAGTGTCAAAAATACTGAATACTAAACACATCTCATTGTCGGCAAAATATACTGAACAGTGAACACCAGTATGAAAAAGAAGAAAAACAAAGAAACTAAATTAATAAATTAAACATCACAATTAATTATATAGTCTGTTTGATTGTCATCTTATTTTACGTCGTGCAGTGTAAATGTGTAATATACATATTTTATTGCCAATTTAAATAGAATTTTATTTTAACATTTGATATTGATATTAATAATATATTCAACGCTAAACATGTTTTTAAAGAATGTACTATGGAATTAGATTTTTAAAAAATAAATGCGTCAGAAATGATGTCATACAATCTTATCATTGGCTGTGTTTCAACTTTTCAATAGGGAAAATTGGTGGTTTAGCTTTTCCGGAAACTAGCTCCCAATTTATATGTCAGTTTCACATGCATCAATTCAAGTCCAAAGTAGGCGCAGCATTTCTCCGACATGCCTCTTACTGAATATAAATATAAAAATAAAGCACACAAATTAATTAATGTTAAGTCGATAGTACAGATTTTATAGCAATTATATATATATATATATATATATATATATATATATATATATATATATATATATATATATATATATATATATATATATATATATAGGGAAGGGTTCAGGTGCGGGTATAGCTTCCCGTGCGGTTGTGCGGTTAAATCTGAGCAGTTGATCAAATTTAGATCAACGGCTCAAATCAATGAAAATTAAAAAAAAAAAAAACACGTGCCTGGAACAAAGAAGTATAAGCTAAGGTGCACCTTAAGTGTTAGATCTTAATCACAAACTCACGCACTTTAAGTACAAAACCAACACACATTAAGCACAACCTCACACACATTAAGCACAAAACCACGCACTTTAAATATTAAGTCATAGACTTTAAGTTTCAACAACTACTGACATTAAATACAAAACTCATGCACATTAAGTACAAAACCCACGCACATTAAGCACAAACATCACGCACATTAAGCACAAAACTCACGCACTTTAAGTATTCACTCACAGACTTTAAGTTTTTACAACTATTCACGTTAAGCACATCCCCACGCACATTAAGCACAAACCTCACGCACATTAAGCACAAAACTCACGTACATTAATCACAGATCCGCTCACCTTAATTTTGACCTAGATGAAAAAATTACAAAATTGCCACCGCATTTTTTTTAAAACTTTGATAATCCTGGACGTTGATTAAAACGAGATGAATGGCTCAGATTAAACCGCACAACCGCACCTGAAGCCCTCACCCGCACAAGAACCTAAATATATATATATATATATATATATATATATATATAGTGGTTATAGTGCGAGAATTTGCTTAGGTGCGAACATGTGGTTTAATCTGAGCCGTTGATCAAATCTAGATTAACGGCTCAAATCAATTATTATTTTTTTTAAAAAAATACGCATCTGGAAGGAACCAAGAAACTTAACCTTAAGCATGAAAATGACGCACCTTCAGTACAGAAATCACGCACCTTAAATACACAAACAAAGCACTTTAAGAACACAAACCACGCACCTAAAGTTTTAAAATGAGGTACTTATTATAACTGACGCACCTTAAGTACAGAAATCACGTACCTAAAGCTTTAAAGGACGCACCTTAAGCACACAAACCACGCACCTTAAGAAGGAAAACCACGCACCTTAAGAAGTAAAACAACGAACCGAAAGCTTTAGATCGACGCACTTTAAGTTTCAACAAAAACGCACCTTAAGTTTTCACTGAAGAACTTACGCACCTTAAATACAAAAATCATGCACCTAAAGAAGGAAAACCATGCACCTTATGTTTTAATAACTGACTCACCTTAAGCATAGAAACCACACACCTAAACAAGGAAAACCATGCAGCTTAAGAATTAAAACCACACACCTTAAGTTTGACCAATACGGAAAATTACGAAATTACCACCACATTTTTTTTTTAATAATTGTTAATCCTGAATGTTGAGTTTGCCAAGATCAATGGCTCTCCTCCTACCGCACAATCACACATGGGCGCACCAACCGCATTTGGACCTATATATATATATATATATATATATATATATATATATATGTGTGTGTGTGTGTGTGTGTGTGTGTGTGTGTGTGTGTGTGTGTGTGTGTGTGTGTGAGAGAGAGAGAGACAGATCATGTGAAAATCAACGGTCCAAGAGAGAACTGAGAACCAATTGCAACTGTCCACGTGTCCAGATCTAACGGTTCAGGAACACTTTTTTTTAAACGCGGTGGCATTTTCATAAATAATTGAACGTTGAAGTGCAAGTGACAATTTCATATAGTGAATCTAAGTGGCAGTAAAATGTATTAAAAATGCAACAAAAAATGTACACTCAACATGAATTTTAAGTGCATCTAACGTTATCATTAGTTGCACCAAACGTTATTATTAAGTGAGCCAATGTGAAAGATGTTATCATTAGGTGTACTAATGTTAAAAAAAAAAAAAGAGAAAATTGTAAAAAATGTCCCACTATAATATGTCAATTATCAATGTCATCCCTGAATTATGAGTGGTGTAAATATTGCCCTTCAATTATCAAAATGGTGCACATATAGCCCCTCCCGTAACGAACCTGTGGTTTCCCACCGTTGTCCATCGTTGGTACTTCGAATCGAGGGAGGGAAAAAACAACTAAATTACATATTTACTTCGACTTAACGGTGGCGTACACTAACGCGAAACCACATGTCCGTTACGGGAGGGGCTATATGTGCACCGTTTTGATAATTGAGGGGCAACATTTACACCACTCATAATTCAGGGGTGACATTGATAATTGACATATTATAGAGGGACTTTTTAATAATTTTTTCAAAAAAAAAAAGTAAATTACTTGCACTATTAAGTGAAAATAGTTGTACTTTTAAGTGATTTTACTTACAATTTTTACTTGCATACTCGCATTAGTCACTTGTACTTTTAACACATGTTACTTCCATCAAAGTTTGAGTTATTTACAAAAATGTCACCATTTTTTTATATTACATCATTAAACCTGAACACGTGTACGACTGCGATTGGTTCTCACTTCATTCTTAGGCATTCGTTCTCAGGCAAATTATGCTGTAAACCCGTGTCCACCATGTGCATGGTGGACACGCTGTATATTCATAATTTCTATACTGTAGATTCATAATTTCTATACTGTGGATTCATAATTTTTAAACTGTAGATATATAATTGCTATACTGTAGATTTATAAAATCTATACTGTAGGTTCATAATTTCTATACTGCACATTCATAATTTCTGTACTGTAGATTCATTATTTCTAAACTGTATAGTTATCAAATTATGAACACATAGTTATCAAATTATGAATCTACAGTATAGAAATTATGAATCAACAGTACCAAAATTATGAATGTGCAGTATAGAAATTATGAATCTACAGTATAGAAATTATGAATCTACAGTACAGAAATTATGAATGTGCATTATAGAAACTTTGAATCTACAGTACATAAATTATGAATGTGCAGTATAGAAATTATGAATCTACATTATAAATTTTAGGAATAAGAGTCAAATAGGCCACTCAACTGTACACCAAACTACAATTAGGCCATCAAACTAAAAAAACAGTACAATTGCATCCCTGAACAACACAAAATAATGCAATTAGGTCCAAAATGACATGTTTACCTGGAAGAGCAGGTTACCGATTTTAAAAATAATTTAAAATAAAATAATTAATTAAAATTAAATTTTTTTAAAAAAACTAATCTACTGGATTCGTCTCCATGGTCGGAACCTTCGTCTCCAGCCATGGAGACGAAGGGAGAAACTCCATGGCCGGAGAAAGCCAGCCATGGAGTTTCGTCTCCATGGCTGGAGACCCCCGACCATGGAGTTTCGTCTCCATGACCGGAGACCACCGGCCATATGAAACTCCATGGCCAGGAGGTCCCTTCGTCTCCGGCCATGGAGACGAACCTTCAGCCGTAGATTAGTTTTTTTTTTTTTTTTATTTTTTTATTTTAATTAATTATTTTATTTTAAACTATTTTTAAAATCGGTAACCTGCTCTTCCAGGTAAACAGGTCATTTTGGACCTAATTGCATGATTTTGTGTTGTTCAGGGACCTAATTGCATTGTTTTTGAGTTCGATGGCCTAATTGTAGTTTAGTGTGCAGTTGAGTGGCCTATTTGACCCTTATTCTTAAATTTTATGAATCTACAGTATATAAATTATGAATGTACAGCGTGTCCACAGCATAACGCTCTTTCATTCTCTCTCTCACACACACACACACCATTATGTATGCAAAAATGCACCAATAGTGTTAGAAAACTCACCACGATAAAATGCACCAATGCACCACATACCAAAAAAATGCACCATTGGGTTTACAAAAAGCACCAATTGTGTTAGGAAACGCACTACACTGAAATGCATCAATGCACCACAAAACGCACCACACACCAAAAAATGCACCATAACTCACCACACCTCATGGTGCGTTTCTAAACACTCTGTGGTGCGTTTATGTGTATCTAATGGTGCGTGACCGCACAGCTACACGGGAAGCCTTGACCGCACTGGAACTTGACCGCACCGTTAGGCTTTTAGGAATTAAAAACCATTTTGGGCTTAAGGCATTTGGGTACAAAATACTGGTTCACCATACTAAATAGACCCTAGCCCATTTCAAAATAAATAACTATATAAATATTTTTATTAAAATATTTAATATCGGAACTATGGTTTATTTTAGGAAAATACGGGGTATCACATCGTGGTGACATCACTTCAACTTTGTCTTGAGGTGGCAAGAGTTGTAATTGTATTGCTAAAATTCTCAATACAAGATTCAGAGCGTGTAGTATTCCCCAGTTGTTACATGGTCTCAACCTTTTATAGTATATAATGGTAACAATTACAATTATAATGGCCTCTAATAAGTGCAATGGCTCCCTCAATAAGTGTCGTGGCTCCTTAGTAATTGATGTGCGCTCTCGTATATAACTCATTCTCTTTGATGAGATGGTGCTCTAATAAGTGCATTGGACTCTGGGTTAAGTGCACCATTCCACTTCCTTTCTACATGACTCCCGACCGTTACTAATTGATAGCTAGTGTTAATTGCTTTGACTCCGTCAGGTTAGACCAAGAGCGTTCCATGTCGGATCTAGTACCTTGTCTTATTTTCTTGTCATTACTAAATCAAGTTAAATAGGTAAAATTTAAAAAATGAATCAATTTTTCATTCACACGTTATTCATTTTGAACCTATAATATATTAAATTAAGACCTCTAACTTAGAAAACTTACACTTTAAGCCAATCCAAACCCGGAATAAACTTTATAAAAATTATACCACAAAATAACCATTTAAACCAATTTTTCCAACACATCCATCAGCGAAAGCAGCAAAGTTTCGCCACTTCCATAACCACCCCACAATGGTGGCAAACAAGGAGCTCCAATCACTGTTATTTTATTCTGCATTCTACCCCAAAGATTGGTATCAATCTAGTCAATGAGACTCGTTTCATTCATCTTATGCATTTCGGTCTCATTGATAAACTCCTTCCAGATATCTATGGCTTTGGAAAACTTACGAAAGATTTGGTCTGCATCCTCTCGGCAACTGCAACAGAACTGGCAGCGGCTATCGTCTATAATGAAACCCCTACGCTTCCTTTCAGTCTTGCTTATGATTCCTTCGTGTCTCAATAGTCATAATAATGAGTTAATACCCAAAATCGTCCTCGACTATAGTGGTTTTTCTCAATTTCGTCCTAAACGACTTTGGTGACCTAATATCGTCCCAGACTTTTGTGTTTCGCTCAATTTAGTCCTCCATTTGTTATTCCGTCAAATTGGTGTTAAATAAAGGGACAATTCAGTAATGTCAATATTGATCTCTCTTTACTTTCAACTTGTGAAGTGCGAAATTCCTCTTTCTTGTACGAATTACACCCAGAATTACTCCCGGACATGCGAATCAAATTTTATATTCGCAGTTTTAGGAGTAATTCTGGGAGTAATTCGTAAAAAAAAGGGATTTCGCAGTTCACATGTCTATGAGTAAAGAGATGCCAATATTAAAATTACTGAATTGTCTATTTATTTAACACCAAATGGACAAAATAACAAATGAGGGACTAAATTGAGCAAAAACACAAAAATCTGGGACTAAATTGAGCGAAACACAAAAGTGTGGGACGATATTAGGTCACCAAAGTCGTTTAGGACGAAATTGAGAAAAACCACTATAGTCGAGGACGATTTTGGGTATTAACTCCCATAATAATTAAGGAACAAATTCTGTGCCTATGTTCTGCAGGGGCTAGATCGGCGTTAATCCAAATGTCGTCACATTTTTTAGAGTTAAAAGTGCTTGATTTGACTCTTCACCAGCCTCTGCCGCTAGGTGTTGGGAATGGCTCTTTAGGGGCCTCCACTCAACAATTCTCTCTCTTTAAATACACAGTTTTTACTGACATTCAAATCGTGATCGGACTCATGTAACAGATCATTAAAAAATAAAGGAATAAGGTTCAAATTGGCCACTGAACGTAACCTGAAAATGCAATTAGGCCACTGAACGAAAAAAAGTGCAATTAGGCCATTAAACACTCAAAAAATGTGCAATTCGGCCACTGAACTCTCGAAACGTATGCAATTTTACCGGATAACAGGTTACCATCAATTTTAGCAGGTTACCTGCTTACGTGGCAGCTTAGTTGACATTTTTAATAATTTTTAATAATTAATTTTAATAATAAATTTTATAAAAAATTAGAAAAAATTAAATAAAAAATAAAATAAAGTCGTTTTTATTTTTTAAAATTTTTTTTTAATAAAAAGTTATTATTAAAATTTATTAAAAATGCCAACTCAGCTGCCACGTAAGCAGATAACCTACTAAAATTGAGGGTAACCTGCTATCAGGTGAAATTGCACATTTTTGGAGTGTTCAGTAATCTAATTGCACTTTTTTTTTTGTTTAGTGCCCTAATTGCACTTTCAGGTTACGTTCAGTGGCCAATTTAAACCTTATTCCAAAAATAAATTAATGTGAATCAAGTCCTATTTTACAATTAAATAACAAATCATAATAATGAGAAAGAAAGATATATGTATTATATTTTGGTGTGTAATTGGATTACCTATTTCTTTTTACTAAATAAATATTGCTAGCTTCGCTATATAGATAAAGAGAACAGAAGAATGAACCAGAAAATTCTGTAGCCTCTCTCTCTCTCTATCTCTTTCCCTTTCTCCCTTGGTTCACATTAATCCTAGCTAGCTTACAGCTAATAAACCAAATAAAACGGCGATGACACAGAAACACTTTGTTCTCGTCCATGGTTCATGCCACGGAGCTTGGTGCTGGTACAAGCTGAAGCCCCTCCTGGAATCCGGCGGCCATAAAGTGACGGCGCTAGACCTCGCCGCCTCCGGCGTCAACCCCAAACAGCTCCACCACCTCCGCACGCTGCACGACTATACGTTGCCGTTGATGGAGTTCATGTCGGCGCTTCCCGACGGAGAGAAAGTTATCCTGGTGGGCCACAGCTTCGGTGGCTTCAACATAGCCCTCGCCATGGAAAACTATCCTCACAAGATTTCAGTTGCTGTTTTCTTGACAGCATTCATGCCTGATTCTGTTCATTCACCCACCTATGTCTTGGGTCAGGTATTCAAGTTTAATTATTAGAGAAGAATATTGGTTAAATTACAAAAACAATCTTAAAAAATTAATGATTTTAAACATTTAACAATCATAATTAATGTTTTTAATGTCACCTTCACAGGCTAATTTTACCACAAAGTTGATAACTCGGAACCAAAGGCAGAAACTTATATAATTAAGGGATTTTATTGTTATTTCTTTTTATAATTGAATGATTACAAAAATAATATTTTTCCTAATTTTGATGTTGGCAGGCTCAATTATTAAAGTCTGAATTGAAATATTTTATTTTTTAGAATTATTCAGTTTCTGCTAACCCAGTCATTGATTTGAGTTTTATTATAGCTGTATTGCTGAAATAGTGTTTGTTTGGTAAATAACTGTTGATAGCTGATAGGATTAATTAGAGGGTATAATTAGTTAATAATATTAGCTGATTGTAAAAAAGTGTTTGATAAATTAGTTGTTAGCTGATAGCTGTTTTGTATAATTTTTTTTTCTAAAAAGTTAATTGAAAAAGTTGCTTTGAGTAGCATTTTTAATTTTAACATTTTATTGAAGTAAAAAAGTTAATTTAACTAAACACTTATATTGATTTTTAAACCAAGTCAAACAATTAATAGTGATCAAATAAGCCAAAATTGACATATAAACTATTTTACCAAATAGACCGTATCTTTCTTTAATTTTAGCATTATCAAATAAGGCTAGAGTCTGATCTACCTTTAAAAAAATAAGGCTAGAGTCCAAAATTATTATTATTTTTTTATTATAAGGTGAAGGATACTCAAATATACAAACTACCACATCTCTATCGAGGTTCAAACTCATCACCTCTCACACAGGGGAGCAACTTGATACTATTAGACCATAAGGTCTTTGGTAGAGTCCAAAATTATTTAATTTCATGCCACAATTATTAGAATAAGAAAACAAAAATAGAATGGAGTTAAAATTAGATCTGTCGTCTAGTGTGGACTGAAGTGAAATGAAAGCAAGAGTTAGATGAATGGAAATATGGAACTAACGTAATCATTGAAAACAAATATGTGGTCCAAATAAACACATGATAATCGTAGTATTCTTGGGATGGAAAGAATGCTGGGAAAGGTGATTGATTGTTTTTTCGGAATGCCGTTCTTTAATGATGGTGAAAAGTAACATCCAAATGTAAAGAAATAAGTAGCAAACACAAATGTAATAAGTGAATGGAGGGGATTAGCACTAGGTGTCCCTGCGAAGTAGTGTAATGCATCGATCGTGATTCTTGGAAGATGTTTCTATTGCCAAAACCACTCTAATAGTCTATTATGTGTATCAAGTAGTAAAATTCTACTTTCATAGTCAGTGTTGCAAAACCCGCGCCTAGGCGCCGTCCGGCCGCGGAGAGAAAGGCCGGAATTTCGCGGCCGGGCGGCCAGCCGGCTGAACCGACGATTTTTTATTTATTTATTTTTTTAGTGACGTGGTAAGGTGTCAAAAGTTCACCGTAGGCGGTTTGCCCCTCCATTTTCTAAAAAAAAAAAATGCTTCTATTGCTCTTAATTTTAATTTTTTATGTATTTAGATGGTTTCAATAATATTTTGAACCATTTTACAACTACTTTGTAAATAGTTTGTAAGAAAAAACTAGAACAACCTTATTTTTTATTAATGAAGTTTTATAATTTTTTTTTTTTAAAAAAAAAAATAAAAAATAAAAAAATCGGCGCGTAGGGGGCGCTTAACGTATTTGCAACCTTGCTCGTAGTAACCTTACTACTTGAGGCATTTTATCGAATACTTGAAGTACACATCTTCTTACGAGCTCTACCTCTCGGTGCAAGGTGAGAAATACAAGTGGAGTAGGCTATAGTGTAGTCTCAATCTCTTGGTGGCTACACGCCTCCTAGACCTCTTGTATAATACATGCGGCCGTCATTATAAAAAAAAAGTCTACAAAGTTCACTTTAAACAAGAATTCAAATCAATGCATCACGTAATTTTCTAATTGCAATCAAAACATTCTAACATCCTAACAAGTAAACATAATCCTAATTCCCTAAGAATTAGCTAGACATTGTCATAATTGAATAGCTTTTTTTGGGTGAATTTGAAGCCCTCCAAGAAGGCGTTACCTAACCCTTAAGTAGGAGACATTACAAGAGTCAGCAGAAATAAGCTCCGTCAACTCAACAGGCGCGTGATCGAAGTAGTGTGTACCCCAATCAATCATCTGGCCGAGGTTTGCCGGCCAGTCAGCGCACTTGTTACCTTCTCGCTCAATGTGGGAGAACCTAATATGTCTAAACTTTTTAGTGAGGTCCATACAGTTTTTGACTAAAGCCACAACAGTTTTAGCTTGCAAATCACCTTTGGTCATGATGGTTATCACTGCCGCCGAGTGATAGTTAAGATGATAGAAGAATGGAAGCATTTGGAATGAAATAAATTGCAATTGAAATGAACACTTAGCTTTGAATTACAATCTAAAATCCCCCTAAAATCCTTAAATCCAGTTGTCAAGTTGTTCTAAGAACCCTATGGAGAATCCTTTCTCCAAAATCTAAAGTACAAGTATGAACAAAATGTAAAATCTAGATTTTTCCCGTAAATGAGGTCAAGAGATCTATTTATAGTCGAGATTGTACTTCGCGTCACGAGGGGAGTTACCACGCAATAGACAATGTGATATGCAGGGCTATTACGTAGAAGTTTTTGTCACAATGGTAGTTATCTCGTGACAAGCAGCATCAAGGCATAGAAGTCCGCGTCACGCTCGGGACCACACAGTAACTTGTGACATGAATTTGACTTTGAAAATTTCATAATCAGACTTTATGGTCCCTAGAAAAGTTTTATCCTTTTGAGTTGTCGCTCCAATGCCACTTTGAATCACCTCATTTGGATACTCCTAACACAAGATAGGATCAAAATACCAAACTGTCTCCAAAATGCTATTGAAATGACATTGTTTTCATATATTGCACAAATGTAACCACAATTAGTCCTTATTTCAAACTTTATGCAAATGAAGCTATTATAAGCGCAAAAGGACTCCTATTATAGCATAAATTTGCCTCCCAAATACCCCACAAAACATATTTAGCACTTACCAACACATAACAAAGCCATATGGTCCATTTCTTTGCATTTTAAATTGTGGAATTTTCTAACCCGCTTGGTTGGCGTGCACTCTCATGATTTTTCCAATTACGAGACGAGATTTGAACACCTCACATCTCTTAAATGATGAGAGCGCATGACTACCCATCCACACCAACCAATAGGTGAAGATGAGTTCAAACCTCCCCTTGTAATTAGAAAAATCAATATCATTAACACTTTGTCCTTTAATTAGGTTGGGCTAATGCGAACGTGAATTAGTATGAGGAAGACACCTTATGATTACCAAAAAAATAAAAAAAATAAAAAATTATCAAGTTTTCTTACACTTTCTTGGTACAGAATTTTCTCAAATTAATATATTATGAATTATTTTTCCATTAATTTGAATTATTTTACCTTTTTCCCACAGTTTAATGAGCTCACACCTGCTGAGATTTGGTTGGATACTCAATTTTTATCCTATGATACACCAGAAGATCCTCTTAGAACCTTGATTTTTGGTCCCCAATTCATGTCTAAGAAACTCTACCAATTGTGCTCCCCCGAAGTAAGTCATGCCACCTTCTCAAACCTTTTTATTCAATTATTTTAACAACTAATTTACCACTAATATAGGATTTCGTTTAATAAATTAATTTTTTTGTAGGATATTGCACTTGGGGGCTTGTTGATTAGGCCAAGTTCTTATTTTACGGAGGATTTACCAAAGCTCAAAAAGTTCACTGATGAAGGTTATGGTTCAGTTAAGCGAGTTTACATTATTTGCTCCGAAGATCAAGCCATAACATTAGATTTTCAACGTTGGCTTATCGAAAACATTGGGGTAGTTGAAGTGAAGGAGATTAAAGATGCAGACCACATGGCAATGCTTTCAAAACCCCAACAACTTTGCCAGTATCTCTTAGAGATAGATAGTGATGAATAGAATCACTCATTTGGTGTTCATTCAATTTACAATGTTGAATTGTTTCTTAATTGTTTGGATGTTTTATGCTTCATATTCTTCGTTGAACTATGTTTTGTCTGTCTGTGCTTTGTAAGATATGATGTCTTTTTGGTTTGGATTTTGTTTTTGATAATTTGTAATCTTTTTGAAGTTCTTATAAATTGTAAAATTATTCTAGTTCTATGTTTGCCTTAATACAATTATTTCACATTTTTACATGAACCATTGTTTTTATGTATCACTTTTAAACTTGAAGTGATGAAATTGAATTTTGATACAATTTTCAACATATGTAAACTATTTATATGTTGACTCCAATATATGCCACTTTTATTAAAATTACTTTTATTATTAAATATTTAATTCTAATTTTAATTTCGATTCCAATTTTATTTTTAAACAAAACACCTCTCGATATTTTGAGAATATTCTAGGCTCGTACATTAGCAGTAAATATTTTAGTAATGGTCAAAATTCAACACGTGTGTTATTAAATTGGGTCAGAGGCTTTACCTATGGGTTGAGGTGGATGACCTAAATTTAGTACCCAAAAAGGGACGGTTGAGATTCGTCCACGCAACACTCAAGAACCACACCTTCGTTGGATACAAGGGCAGGGAGCCGTAGATGTGAACAAACGACTTTATTTTTTCTTCCTTTGGTGTAAGTGAACGACAACTAGCTACACAAAGAGAGGCAGCAGAGGTTAACAAGCAGATCATTTTTTTTTTTTTTTTTTTTGAAACAACAAACAACAATTTTTAATTAGAAATATCCAGCAGAATTACATCAGAAATAGATGGAGGGGCCGAAACGAACCACTCCCTACAATCAGCATTGAACACGGCTTCCCTAGCTAACGTATAGGCCGCCATATTTGCAGATCGTTTAACAAACACAAAGCTAATACAATTAAAGTTACAAGCTAGTTTACGAATGTCATCAAGAATTAAACTAAAGGATGAGCTAAAATCAATGTCTTTCAATCCTTGAATGACAAGAAGAGCATCTGTTTCTACAATGACGTTATCTATATTATTGTTTACAAAATTAATCATTCTTTCACTTTGCCAAGCCAATGACCTTGTGGTCTAGTAACATAAAGTGACTCTCTCAAATAGAAAATCATGGGTTTGAACATCGGTGGGGCGGTATAGATTCTTTGTACTTCAGATACTACATTGTAACAAAGTTAGTAGTACTCAAAAAAAAAAAAAAAAAAACATTCTTTCCCTTTTATTTTGTTCGTCTCATTCATGGTTTTATTATTATTGAAAATTTATTACAAAATTAAAAAATAATATTGTTGATGGAATTAATAAACCCTAGAGCTCGAATTAACTGATATCAATAATTAAACAATAATAATAAGGAGATAAGAAAAAAGCTTTAGTAAAAGACAATGAGCTTGTATTACGAGTTATGTGTAACAAGATTACAAGATGTGTAATGATATATAAGACCAGATGAGGTAATAACAAGACAAAGAGATTAATTTATACTAAAATGCTCTCCGTAACCGCCACACGTGAAATGGTTGGGCGGTTACGGTTTCCTTTTATCGAGTCTTGACTAGCTTGTTCATCTCCGGCCTCGAGGCCGACCACTAAGGTTAGCCTTGGGTACCCGGGGCTGACTACTGAGGTTAGCCTTGGGGCCTTGGGGCCAACCACGAAGGACGACTTTAGGGCCTTGGGGCAGCGAGGTTGACCATGAAGGTCGGCTTAGGGGCTTCGGAGCCGGCTCTCGGCCCGCTTCTTCAGGTCAGATCGCTCCGGACTTGTCTCCAATATATCCATCAATTATATTATTAATATTATTAATATTTACTCGTATCATTTAATTCAGTAGCACTTAAAATATTATACATGATTATGTCTGGTACAAAATGTATAAACACCAATTGACACCTTAAAATACTTGGAAGAATAATAATGTATAGAAAAGTGTATGCATGAGATGGAGAATATGAGGCTAAGAAAGTATAACCGTACCGGGGGGAATTGAAGATTTGAGTGAATGGCTAAACAAGCTAAACCAAACTCACACCTAATAAATTGTATCACCTGACAAGTTTGTACAAATTCTGGAATATAATGACTTTGAGAAGAAGTAACATATAACCATTAACGAGGTCCATGCACGTTGGAGACGGTTCACAAATGTAGTCCACCTACCTCTTGAAATCCTCCCATCACCCCCATCCCACTCAACACATATAAACAACCCAACCATTCTTACCAATTCAACTCAAATCCTTCACAATTTCTCAACCACACCCATCCTTTTCTTCTTCATCTTCTTCAAAAACCAGGATATAAAAAGTACGTGTACACCTGCAGATGAGCCATCACCATAGCATAGGGATTAAGATGGCGGGCGTGGTGGTTTTGGCTATGGCGGCGTTATTAACAGGCTTCGTGGCTTGTGAGGACAAGAAAGGTGATGAGTGGGGAATGGGAGCTTCGTTTATCTTCGGAGACTCTTTAGTAGACGCCGGCAATAATAATTACCTTTCCACTTTATCTAAGGCTAATATTGCGCCCAATGGGATCGACTTCAAACCCTCCGGCGGGAACCCCACCGGCCGCTACACCAACGGGAGAACCATCGGTGACATTATCGGTAACGTAACATATATCTATCAATCTTTTCAACTCCTTTGTCCTTAGCTTCCATCTTTCAATAATTATATATATATTTTGTTCATTGGTTCTTAGGTGAGGGATTGGGGCAATCTCACTATTCAACGCCGTTTTTAGCTCCCAATTGTAGCGGCCAAGCTCTATTATACGGTGTGAACTATGCATCTGGAGGGGGTGGAATTATGAACGCCACTGGAAGAATTTTTGTAAGCTCTCTATATAAAATTCTTCACCTATAAATTTTGTATCTGGTCGTTTCGATCTACAGTCCATCATATAAATTGTCAGTTGTAATAAACAAGCCAAACCCATAAAGTTGCAACAGTTATGCTATGTAACCGTGTTCACCATGCGCATGATGAACACAGAATACATCCATAATTACTAAGCTGTAGATCCATAATAATTATGAATCTACAACATAGAAATTATGGATCTCTATAATTTATATACTATAGATTCATAATTTCTATACAACTGTAAATAGAAATTATGAATTTACCCCTGTATTCACCATGTGCATGGTGAACAGGTTTCCACGGCATAATTTGCGATAAAGTTGAGCTTGGGCCTATAACCCTTTTAAGAGTGTTGGGCTAGGATTTTCTAGCCCATAAAACCTTGGGCTTACCTGGTGTAGCCTAGTTGGCCCATGGTTATATGGGCTAATACATATGAAAAATAACACAACTTATTTTTCACTGACCAATGATAGATCATAGATTAGCCTATATTAACAGCTCTATTGTCAATAATTAGGTTGTACCTAACTCAACCTGTCATACTGTTATTGTAGCAAATGGTTGGACCATTGGTGACTCAATCCATTTGTCATCTCTAAATGTGCTACATATATTATACTCGATATGTACCCACATAAATAAATAATACTTTAGTGATGGACCAAAGAAATGAAGATAAAAAGCTTGAATGTAATGTATGTTGACATTACAGGTGAATAGGCTTTCAATGGATATCCAAGTTGATTACTTCAACATAACTAGGCAACAAATCGACAAATTACTTGGTGCTTCAAAGGCAAAAGAATTTATCACCAGGAAATCCATTTTCTCCATCACAATTGGCTCCAATGATTTCCTCAACAATTACTTGCTTCCCGTTCTCTCCATGGGCACAAGAATCAGCGAAACTCCTGATGCCTTCATTGACGATCTTATCTCTCATCTCAGGGGACAACTTACGGTAAATATAATATATTACTTTTTTCTTTCCTACTTCATATGTTCCAATAATATAAAACTATTATTATTTTTCTAAATCTAAATTTTATTGTTTGCATCCAGAGACTTTACCAATTGGATGCTAGAAAATTTATCATAGGAAACGTGGGACCAATCGGTTGCATTCCTTACCAAAAAACAATTAACCAGTTGAAGGAAAATGAATGTGTAGAGCTAGCAAATCAACTTGCTAACCAATACAATGCCCGGTTGAAAGAGTTGTTGGGAGACCTCAACAAGAATCTCCCCGGCGCCACCTTTGTGCACTTGAATGTTTATGATCTTGTCTTGGAACTAATCACAAACTACGCTAAATATGGTAACTTCTTCTCTGATCTTTTTCAACACCATATACTATATTAATACCAAAAACTACAGTTCACAGCAAAAACACAACTTTATTTCTTTATATACCGTCACATTTTTGAGAGGCAGAGTACTAGCCTTTACCAGTCTTCATCTAACAGTGGCCTAACCAGTTATTATTGACTGGACTTGACCCTTCACTGGTGTATATGCAGGGTTTACAACGTCGACCAAAGCATGTTGTGGAAATGGAGGGCAATTTGCAGGGATAGTTCCGTGTGGACCAACCTCGAGTATGTGTTCGGATCGAGACAAACATGTGTTTTGGGACCCATACCACCCCAGCGAGGCTGCTAATATTATCATTGCCAAACAGCTGCTTAAAGGAGATCCTAAATATGTGTCTCCCATGACTCTTCTTGAGCTTCGAGATTTGTAATTTGTGTTTCGAACCCTTTGTATTATTTTAATATGTTATTTGATTTCAAGATGTATGTCAAAAATTCTTGTGTTGATAAGAATGTTCTCTAGCTTATATCTAAATTAATACTTCATCCGTTCCATTATATATATATATATATATATATATATATATATATATATATATATATATATATATATATATATGTGTGTGTGTGTGTGTGTGTGTGTATTTTCCAAATTTAAATGAAATAATTTTTAATTCAATTTTTTATAATGTTAAGTTTAATATTAGTATATAAAATTTATTATCACATCTAATTACTTATTAATCATACGGAGTATTAGAATTTGATTAATTCGAAATCAAATTGCTATCCATTTCAGAGGAAGCTCAGCTCTCTCATTAATTATCTACCATTCTATTCAGTGGTTCACTTAAGCAAAAATAATATTTAAGTGGTCATTTTGAGGCAATGTTTTGAGTGTGGTTCACTTCTAATTTATGTCAAGTCAAAGTGGACTTGGGTTCTCTTAAGCGAAATATTTAATTTGATATTTATTTACTCAAAATAGATAATAGGTGCATGAGAAATTAATTCTCAAATTGTACTCATTGAGTTAGGAAAAATCGAGCTTTGAAAGGCTTTTAATAGCCTTTGTCATTTTTATCCTACATCACAAAAGTATATGAGTTTGTACTAATATAAATACAACTTAACTTTTTAAAGAGTTTGAATTATGTAGCATAAAATCTCAATCTCGTGCATATGGAGAGAGGGCACAAATCAAATTATATTCCAAAATGACTTATGGAATCTTATTGAACCATTGAGCTATGTAATAACCTTAGCTTATTACAGCAAAGATAAATGTTACTCTAAATTATACATACTCCAATGTCTTAGACTGCACTTTTAATTTTATTTTTTTAGTATTATTGACTCTCCTATAATTCAGTATCTGTTCATAACTATTTACTCAACTTACTGAAGCACAAAGAATCAATAACGTCCACTATTTGCAATATAATAATTTTATTAAGGCACACAGGATTACAAAGTTGACAAATTAAACGAAATCCAAACCACGACAAAGGAGGCACCATATCGGACAAAGCATAGTTCAATTAAAAAAAAAAAAAAAAAAAAAAGCAATTGAACATTGTGAATGGCAATCAAATTAGTGAATTTATTCATCACCAGCAATCTCTAAGAGATATTGGCAAAGTTGTTGGGGTTTTGAAAGCATTGCCATGTGATCTGCATCTTTAATCTCCTTCACTTGAGAAACCCCAGTGTTTTCAATGAGCCAATGCTGAAACTCCAATAACATGGCTTCATCTTTAGAGCAAATAATGAAAGCTCGCTTAACTGAACCATATCCTTCATCTGTGAATTTTTTAATCTTTGAAAAATCCTCCGTAAAATAAGAACTTGGCCTAATCAACAAGCCCCCAAGTGCAATATCCTACAAAATTTAATCTATTAAATTAAATCCTATCTTAGTATAGTATGTAGTAAATTAGTTGTTCAAATAATTGAATAGAAAGGTTTGAGAAGATGGCATGTCTTACTTCTGGGGAGCACAATTGGTAGAGTTTTTCAGACAAGAATCGAGCACCAAAAAACACTGCCGTTAGAGGATCTTCCGGTGTACCATAGGGTACAAATTGAGTATCCATCCAAGTTTCCGCCGGTGTACGTTCATTGAACTTTGTGAAATAAATAAAAAAAAATTCAAATTATACGTGATAGCATTCTATTACCCTTCTAAATAGGTGGTTACATGATCAAATTTCAAAAGAATTTTGGCCCTGTTTGGTAAAATGATTGTTAGCTGATATAAAATTATAAATAGTTGATAACATTAGCTGATTTTAGAAAAATGTTTAGTAAATTAGCTGTTAGGTGATAGCTATTTGGTATAATTACCAAACAGGGCCAATGAGTATTATATTTCAAAAACAGTAAAGATTAACTTTTTAATTTCCGGGATAATTATATTAAAGTTGATTAATTACCTGATCCAAGACATAGGAGGGTGAATGAACAGAATCCGGCATGAAAGCTGCTATGAAAACTGCAACTGAAATCTTGTGAGGATAGTTTTCCATGGCGAGGGCTATGTTGATGCCGCCGAAGCTGTGGCCCACCAGGATAACTTTCTCTCCGTCGGGAAGCGCCGACATGAACTCCATCAACGGCAAATTATAGTCGTGCAGCGTGCGGAGGTGGTGGAGCTGTTTGGGGTTGACGCCGGAGGCGGCGAGGTCAAGCGCCGTCACTTTATGGCCGCCGGATTCCAGGAGGGGCTTGAGCTTGTACCAGCACCAAGCTCCGTGGCCGGTGCCATGTACGAGAACAAAGTGTTTCTGTGTCATCACCATTATTCTGTTTCTGTAAGGTAGGATTAAGGGTTTCAAACTTAATTGTTAAATACAACTGGACAATTAAGCTTACCGATTAATTAAAGGCGGCGTGACTGTTAGATCCAAATTAATTAAATACAAAAATTTGTGTAAGATCATTAATTAATGAAATTCTCCTTGAAAACTCATTCAACAAACTTTGAATGTCAACTTCTTTTAAAATTTTTATTTTTATTTTTATTGCAATTATAAAAAAAAAAAAAAACAATTTATTGACTATCTCTCGTAACACATACTTGACTGTAATTAATTAGTAGAATTAATATTGATAGAAAATAAGATATATTAAAATACTTTTAAAAATTAAATAAAAAACTATATATGTTAGTAAAATAATAAAAAAATCTTTGAAGTAACAATAAAACTCTTTTTATTCCTTAGTTATCATAAATTGACTGATCTCATCCTATGTTAGAAAAGGAATCTACTTATTCTTCCAAAAGGTTGAACCCCAACCCTAAGGACCCCCACACCCTGACCCAACAAAGCATTTGAGATGATGTAAATCATCAAAGAAAAGAAATCTCCTTATATTCCTATGTTAGATGGTTTAAGATTTTGATAATAAAAAAATGATTACTGCCCCGTAATCCTGTCATGCAATTTTAATTTTTGAAAAAAAGTACAAAAACTAATTGTTAACTTGGGGGTTGTCGTGGATGGAAGACATCTATTTTTAACCAAGTCAAACAGTTAAAATTAATCAAATCAATTAATTTTAACTGATCAGCCATTTTAATTTACCAAACAGGGCCACACAAATATAAATGTGTTTGTAATTACGTTTTTCATGATTTGCTCCATCTTTACACATTATGCAGTGAACTTATTACAGCAAATATAGATGTTAAATTCCGTTAGAGGATTTTCTAATATACCATAGAGTAAAAATTGAATATCCAACCAAGCTTCCGGAGGTGTCCGTTGATTATATACTAAATAAAAGTAAAATGATTATAATTCATAACATTATCAATGCGATAAAATTCTCTTCCAAAAAAAAAAAAATAAAAAAATCGACAATTTGTATTGCAAAAAATGGATAATATACCCTTGGTATGTGTTCATTTGGGCCACCAATTGTTTCCGATGATTATATCCCATGCTTTCCATTCACCTCTCAACTCTCGCTTTCATTTCAATTCAGTCCAAACTATGACAGATCAAACTTATTTTAGCTCCATTCTTTTTATTCTTATTCTAATCATTGTGCCCACCATCAAATTTTGACAATCATTTTAACATATTGGACCAGGTCCAAATTGAAAGGTAGGCCACCAACATAATTACATAAAATTTATTTTTAGTATAATGAAGGAATTGTATTGCTATTTATTCATAATTGAGTGATTGAAAAAAGATATTTTTCCTAATTTTGATGTTGGTAGGTTCATCTATTAAAGTCTGAATTCAAATATTTTATTTATAACAGCATCACCACCAGTGGTTCCTTCTCAGTTTTTGGAACAGTGTTGGGGATCATAACTGATGGAAGGCATTGGTTCAAAGTAAAATACTTCTCCTGCAAAACCAAGTAAGAGCTCCGGATGCGCGTTAGGCGCACTTCGCGCCACAGCGGGGGCGTCTGACTTTTGAACCACTTTTTATTGGATCTGTTCAGTTTCTGCTAACCCGTGCCAGGCATTGATTTGAGTTTTGTTATAGTGTACCGCTGACATAAGACAATCTAAATGCTAGTACGCATAAGAGATTTATTCACTTTGACATAACCTACACACTGTGCTGCTGTCAAGGTTTGAACCTTAGTCTCTTCTTCAAAATACAATTCCTTCATTATATAAGTTGTAGCCTTTGGTTTTGAGTTATCAACGTCTTGGAGAGTCCCTCAGGGTGGCAAAAACATTAAATATGACCGTTATTATGTGTTCAAAATCATTAATTTTTAAGGTTAGTTGTGTTTGTAATTTTGCAATGTTTTTCTCTACCTTCTCCCTAAAGATTGAATGATGAGATATCTAGAGAAACAATTGAGCCATAATGACTTCCACAACTAGAGAATCATTTCAATTTAAAGAAAAACTAATTACCTAAATAGAGATGAACAATAGAATCACTTTATATAAATAAGAACTATGCACCCACAGCACAACCTTGAATAAAATTTTATCTTTATGACCAAAGCTTCTAGTCAATCTCATTATTTATCACTTAAACAAGGCTTTAACAATATATTTGCTACATTATTAAGATAGCATTTAAGCAAGGCAAACAAACCACTCAACTAATTTTACAAAACTTTAAAAAGAAGACAAAAAGATGGTCATATCAAACAAAGCCTAGAGACAACATATATATATAATTCAATGAATAGTGCAGGTCATAATACACCCAACCGATAAACAATTGAACTTTGTGAATGGCAACCAAATGAATATAATGATTCTATTCATCATCATCACCAGTAGTTATCTCTAAGAGAGATTGGCAAAGTTGTTGAGGTTTTGAAAGCATTGCCATGTGGTCTACATCTTTAATCTCCTTCACTTCGCCCACTCCAATGTTTTCGATGAGCCAACGTTGGAAGTCCAATGGTATGCCTAAATCTTCAGTGCAAATAACATAGGCTCGCTTAACTGAACCATAACCTTCATTGCTGAACTTTTTGGCCTTTGACAAATCCTCTAAAAATAGAGAACTTGGTCTAATCAACATGTTCCCTAATGCAATATCCTACATACAAACATTAATTTATTAGTGATTAATTACTTGTTAAAACAGTTTAAAACGAAGGTTTTAGCAGGTTAAATGTAATGACTTACTTCTGGAGAGCATAACTGGTAAAGTTTCTTAGACATGAATTGAGGACCGAAAAACATTGACGTTAGAGGATCTTCTGGAGTACCATATGGTAAAAATTGAGTATCCAACCAAGCTTCTGTAGGTGTCCGTTCATTATACTTTACCCAAAAAAAAAAAAATTGAATTAATTTAATTAATACACTTTAGTTAATGTAAGACAATTTTGTACCCCAAAAAAAAAAGTAAAAAAGTTTGGTAATTTAAAATGATCAAAGAATTGGATAATATACCTTTGCCATAAGATTCAAATTATGTCATGGACTAGGGTCCACTTTATAAAGTGGATCCATGAATATAGAAATAATAGTATAGGACTAGGTACATAAATTATGAACAGTAATAAATTTATGTACAAACATCTTGTGTATTTACTATAGTGAGCTTATGTACCTACAGTAACAAATTTTATGTACTTAATTACCATAATGACTTTTGTGAACCAAATTTATATATCAACATAATCCTATATATAATAAAGCTATATAGTCTTGTGAAAATTAAATGGTGATAATCACCATTTAATTTTCACAAGACCATAATAATATTGTTAATTATAATAACAATAACAATAATAATAATAATTGCAATAATAATAATGATAATAATTTCCACTGACAGTTTATAATATATATATATATATATATATATATATATATATATATATATATATATATATATATATATATATATATATTTATTATATTTATTTATTTATTATATTTATTTATATTTCAATTTCTATTGGCAAATTATTGTGTGAACGATGGTCCACATAATTGTATGGATCATGAATATCAAATACAATTTTAATATATTAAAAGTACATTATTTTTATATTGAAAGTACCTTACATACATATATAATGTACCCTTAGTATATTTAAAATATACTTTTTATTGCATGCAACCCCAAAGTTCATAAGTTTGATATTAATATATGGCATAGCTAGGCGGCCTAATATTTAAGATTGTTGATGTACATATTGAGGACTATGGAGACAAAGATGCTTTATTCGTGGATTCATCGGATACTATCCAACAACACTCTCCAACTTAATTGACGTGAAGTAGGCTTAGTAACATTAAGATTATATTCTCGAATTATTAGTTCTCAACTTTTATTGATTACACACTTAATCCGATAGTATTTGGAAGAAAAAATCAATGTTCGAACTAAGATTGTGATTTTGGTCTTTAAAGGTCAATTGTATGTTGCTACATCTAGAGTTAGAAATTTCAAAGGTCTAAAAATTTGATCCGTGGTGACTCTAAAATTGTAATTCAATTACTATTGTAGTTTACTAAGTTCTTAAAAATTTGTAATATTAAATACTATGTACTAAATTTTTAATATAGTTTAAGATTTGTAGTAATCACCCACCTTAAATATTATTTTAATTGTAAATATATTTATGTTCATAATTTTATCATAGGAATTTACACATAATAATTATTAAATAACAAAAATTTTATATAGGAATAAACCTCATATAAGGTATATTTTTATAACATATTTTTCGTGCATCGCACGGGACAAATACTAGTTATGTTATATATCTGTATATTTATTTTTTTAAAACAAACCTTGATATATGTATCTTTTAAAATATTTCAATTAGAACTTTATAATAATAATTTTTTACATATTAATGTTATTTGTGAAAAATAAAAGTAGAGTGGAAATTTTTTGGGAAATACTATATGTACCCCTATTTTCTACTCTCAATTTTTACTCCTACACTTAAAATTTTGATGTAGACACATTTACAGGAGCCCACATAAAAATAAAAAAAAAAATAGCGTTCTACTACATGTATTCTCAAATCTTACTCCCTCAGATTTACTCCCTGATGTGGTGGCTATGGTAATTTAATTTCTTCATGTGAGTCCATGTAAAAGTGTCTACATCACTATTTTCAGTGTAGGAGTAAAAGTTGAGAATAGAGAATAGAAATACATATAATATTTTCTAAAGAGATGATTTATCAATGTGAGTCACATTAGAAAATAAAATTTGAAAATACGAACTCAAAAATTTTGGACCAGAGCCCACTTGGTCCATAATATAACTAGTTGATTTAGGCGGCCTATTGTTTTCAATAACAGTTGTTATATTATAGACCGCGGTGCATAATCGATTATGCACCGCGGCCCA